CGAAGATTCTCCCTATCGTCTTTTAAAAGCAGGATTGTTCGGAAGGTTCTCCACTGGTCGGGAACTTTCCTCTTGAAGGTAAATCTCTTGGAACTATGTTATGAATAATTGTTCAGCCCTTTGAAAAACTTTTGGTAGGATTCATTGGTAAATCACCGAATTGCGGTTAACAGCTCTCTCTTTGGAAAAAATCAAGCCATGGACTAAAGTATCAAAACAAGATTGGAGCGGAGACTTTGAGACTGTCACACAGATCCAGGCATGTACTATCTACTTTTCCAAATCTGAAATCTCAAATACGAAGAAGGCCGGAGGAAGCGAGATACTAAGACGTCAAAAGCACCGGTGCCTCGTAAGTTTGCGCAATGAACATTCGCCAAACATCTCAAGAAGGTATCGGAACATCTGGATCTCTATATCTTTAGAAGACATTCAAACGAGTCTCCTCTATCATTGAGGAATGAATGCGAACAGAACTCTACAAAAGGGACCACGCCAAGTTTATGACCATATGAAGGACGGTGAAGTAGGACGGTGCGTAGCGATGAGAAGAGTTCATTGGTTAACTCCTACGATAATTGCTATTGCCACGATTGAGTACCGAGGTGCTTTTAAAAGCGTCAGTCCGTATCTTGTGAGATGCCCTCAATTATAGTGTAAAAGTGAGGATGTTTATTGTGGGCGCTTGCATGTACTCAAGTATCAGGCAGTACTCCGCACTTGATTGTTACCCATTGATCCTATCAGAAAAAATAGAATTTTTCAACAGCAAATGCTCCTTGCCAATTTTGAAAATTCGCTAGAGTGGCTATGGTCCAATGACACCTGTACTTGGAGTGGCAGCCGGATGTCCAGAATTAAATCCGACTTAGAGCTGTGTAGGTTGTGTTCATTCTGTTTGCGCTAACGGAAGACAGACGAAGATGTAAGATCAATGGAAATGAGTATTAGTTGCTCAATATTGACAATTGAAGCATGCTATCATTTTTGCACCACTTACCTTATAGCTTTCCACAACTTGAAGTTTGCATAAAATCAATTTGCATAAAATCTGTTTTATTGGTATTTTTCAACATCATGCCATGTGATATTTGGTTCACTTGAAATTACACTCTCAGATTATTTTGCACTAGAGTATATGAGGATGGTTTTACTGTTGCCCGTAGTAAAGCCCACTCAGCAAGGATGACTTGAGATTGGGATCAGGTGAACCACTCTAAGAAAAACCCAGGGAAACAGTTGATTGGGAAAATCGTAAGATGCGCAAACATCTATAGTCTTTCACAACTCATGTCCATGAGTTGACATTCAGCTGTCAGAGTGGCGGCCAGTGAACAACTGAACATGGTTCAAATCCGCTCAAGGCTGAACTGTTTTGCTAATGAGTGGGAGGTATTTGAAGTATCTTGGTGCAGTATAAAGTTGGAGTTAGAACGGTTGCGAACCACATCGTTGATTAGTAGAGAGTTTGAAAAAACCATTAGCAAAAGTGTGCACTTTTGAGACGATGGTGCACCATGATGACGCAAAAGTACACCTCGTCAGAAGAACTCGTAAGTTTCCGAGCACCTTACGACCACTGAATCTCATAAAACAAGCACTATTTCTCTTCTATAACACGTCAGGGATTCTTTATCTTACGGGCTCAATTCATCTCAGTGCAGTCCGCATGGCCATGATTTCTCTGTGGGCTTTGTATCCTTTTACTGAGTCGGAGGAATTGGCATCATGTGAACTCCGTGGTGTTGGACGGGCCCCGTCAAAAAAGATCATCTCATCTATAGGAAACTTTACTATGAGCCTGTGTTTCTGCAGGTGAACGAGTTGAGCGAAAGGCGAATTCATTGCGTTCAGCAGCGCAAACACAAAACTTGGTCTATCACCTGTGTGGCTGGAAGAAGCAATCTGCTAAGTCTTGGTAACACTTTGAGCAAATTTTCTCCTGATACTTGCCAGCAAGATAATATCTTTAAAAAATATTGAGACTACTAGTTTGCCCTGTTCAAATTTTTAGGTTTGTTTGATTATTACCTACTTTTGTAATAATTTAGGTTACAGCCGCTGCTGGAGAGGAACTGTTGAAAGTTAGCGGTGCTTCGCGACCTCTTTCACTAGAATTACAAGATAAACCGAAACCCCGTATTTTGTCGCCACCTTACTGTGGAAGCTATTTTTTCCTTAAATTCACGTGTTTAGTCATATTTTAGACTACGTCTACTATTGTAACTGGTTTAAGAAAATTTTACGCTTGGCATCGGGAATAAACGTGAACCTTTTCCGAGAAGCTCGGATACGGAAATAGGTGGATATTCTGTGCCAAAAAACCCAGTAGTGTCAGCGGAATTGTCTTTCATTCTCAACGATGAGAACATGTTCCCAAATCCAGATGTGGTGAGTTGTATACAGCATAGTATTCCCCAGAAATTTTAATTTTGCATATAGTTCGGCCCATACAGAATTGATGATCCGTTATCCTCAATAGTAGTTCTGTTCGGGTTGGGGATGAGGGTATGCCTTTGAAAATCGCTAGCCAGGGCTGAGCTGTCCCTGGTGATAATATTTGTTCTTACCAAATCAAATATTTAGATAGAAACATCAAACCAGGTAAGTTTTCGTATTCGAAGACTATCTCCATATTCTTGGATCATCGGCAATCTTCTACTTCGCTATCAGGTGTTGTAGGACCTCCAACAGCAGAAGAAATCAACAAGTTTGACGTAATGCGGAAACCACGACATTTTGAGCTGATATCTAAAAAAATTTCCTAGAAGTTTCACAAACTTTCACATCTTTGCATGCATTGATCTGAAAATGATTGCATTGTGGAACCGATGGAATGAATGATTTTTGAATGTTCACCTATAGCATCAAACTTGAACAGCAATCTCTTCCAAAAATAACATAAATGTATAGTGTTTTCTATAAACAATAAAATGAATGTCGTTCGCAGCGCAGAATCATGAGGATGAGATGACATTATTTCACATTCAAGCGATCACAGTTTATAAAATATGTCCTTGATATATAGATATACTTCCTTGGTTTATCTTGGGTTATCAAAAGTGAAATGAAACAACAATTTGCATTCCGCCTCATTTTACTCGGTAAGATGAATGAAATTTGTCTGGGCATCCGACTCATCTTTGATTTTTATATTGCTGTGAGGTTAGCATCTCTCATTATACTGATAGTCGATCTAAAAACTACCCAGATCATATAGGTCGTAAAGAAAGTTGTTGCGGTTTTTAACCATCAACTTTAAACAAACATA